ACTCCTCCCAGCTTGGTGTCATCAGCAAATTAGCAACACTAATTTTCTCCAATTAGTGTTTCATTTTGTGCACTCATTTACCTTTTCACTTGTTTTTCTATGTGTTACTGTCTTGCAAGAAAAAAACTGCTGCAGTTATTCATGGTTTAATCCTTGAACCTCTCTTTGTGTTTTTTAACTCCCAGAATGTGGTTAATTCTGCTTTACCTTTCCTTGTGCCACACCGACTTTCTAGCCTGTGTCACCCTGTCTTTATCTGGAGTGTGGCATGCCCAGACAAATGCAAATGGAAGCATAAAGAATTTTGTTGATTTTTTGAGGTGTTGCTTCATTCTTTACTTTTCTCCCACTACCTGCTCACTCCCTGATAAAGTAAATATTTATTAAAAGTACCTGAAAAAACACCCAGTGAGTCACCCGGCGAGCGTATTGTGATAGTACAATCTCACCTTCACTTGACTGAATCCATCTCCCTTATGTGTTGAAATTCCTGTCTGGTGATCAGACTTGAACTGGAATTATACAACTACCCTTTTCGCTTGATGTTCAAGATTCTTGTGTTTAAATGATTTTTAGTGAATGACAGTGCCAAAAATGGGTCAAATTCTTCTGGCAATGCTACTTACGTAGATTAAAAGTAATTCGGTAAGATAATCATGTTTCAGCAGGGTAAATTAGAATTTATTAAAAAATATTTGGGTTTATGAAAATAACCGAGAAATTAAGTTTCCTGCAACGATGAACATTGCCTCCAAGTGCAGGTGTGCTAATTTAACATGTATTTACTAGGAGGTATATGATTCATGGTGAGGAAAATTCTCCAAAAATCAGAGCTTTCCCAAGGGAAGTACGTCCAGGCTTTTCCTGAGACAACTAGGAGTATTTTCTCTGTTGCTATAATGTTAATTAGTCAAATGCTTTTTAGAAATTAATCTTTAGTTTTGGCCTTGGCTAATCAGATCAGCAACATTCAGTCAGTCCAGCGTTCGGTGTAAATCAGGAGATCACAGCTGCTGTGATTCTCTCTCCCTTCGGTAACTCCTGTTTTCAGAGGCTGCTCTGCTTTTACCTGTGCCCAAGCGTATCAGTGCTTAAGAAAGCAGAAGCTCACGCTTCTTGGGGGTTTTTCAGAAGAAATGGATATATGAACACAAACTGGCTAATGGAAAGTTAATTTAGGATTTAGTTAAAAGGATTTAAAACTTAGTAAAGCTTTTTGTTATAGCTTGTGATGCCTGAACCCTGCAGATTCCTGCTATGAAAGGTTTATTTGACTGCTGAAAATCTACTCTGAGTGTTTCTGGCAGGCCTATAATCTTAGAAACAAGGAATCTCTTGAGAAGGGATAGGGACAGCTTTCAGTCAACTTAATCTAATTAATCTGTCTGTGTTTGTCACAATTTGGTATCTGTTTGTATGTATTCTGATATATTGCTTAGCAGCACAGCTTTGTTACACTTGACAGAACATTTTCCATGTGAACTTGTGTGGAATAAAGCAAATGTGTGCAATTTCTTTTTTTTTTTTGTGTACGTGTCCTCTTTTCTGAGAGATTTCCACAGAATCTCTTTCACTTTTTTACTGAATACTGTGATTACAGAAATGTTTTGGCTATTAGGTTGAGTTCTGCTGTTTTTAGATGTGTGTAGGCCTCAGTTATGACATTCCAGTAGAAAGCAGAGTTTGATTCTTCAAGGTTCTGGCACTGGCTGACACGGAGTCACAGATGAGGAGGAGTCCAGACAAGGTTGCAGTCGTAGGAAAGTACTTCTCACGGCAGTATCGTGCTGTCATGGGCATTTTCATAAAATACAAAAAAACTTCTGCTTTAAAGGCAGAATCCCCATCCTGCTCCTTTTGGTTTGTGACCTGTGTGAGCCACACATCCTCTGAGGTTTCCTGGTACTGCTTTGTAGGCTGAGGAGGCCAGAAATTACCCAAATTGCCTGGTGAAGCCCAGCTGTTATTCTTAATTATGTCACTAATTTCCGTGCATGTGTTACATGTGTCATGGTAACTGATGAAAAATGAGCAGCACTTCTTGTTCTGAGTTCATGTATGTTTTAGATGGAAGAAGCGGCTGAAGAATTGATCTGTTGAGCAGGTGGCAAGTAGGCCACCATGACAATCAGTATTTCCTTCCAGGATTTGTCTGCAGACTAAAAGGCTGGTAGGGATTGCATTTTAGAAGACAAAATTGTATGAATGAATAGCAGAGTTATTCCTAATGCCATTTAGTTGTGGACAACGTCCTGTTAAATATTTAAAAAATGGAATCAGCAAGAATGGGCACTCCTCTAAAGTTTAAACCAGTAAACAATAGCCATTTGTAGAGTGATTAATTTTACAAAAGCTGTCTTACTGAGTGCTTTTAACGTATCAGGGTCAGGTTATCTGTGCCAACCCAAAATTCAGATACGAGGCTTGCCACACAGTGTGGCATGTAGATATGGCCTTGCTTGAGTCATAAAGAAAAGATCTGTCAAGTGTTTCCCACCCCTCCAGAAAGATATAAAAGTTGGGAAGTCTCTGGGATTTTCTCAAAAAAAGCCTCTGGTTCTTCTGCAAGAAAAATGAACGCACTTGTGAGTATATCCATTTTTGTTAAGTAATTTTATAAACCGAAAGGACAGAGGAGAATCAGCTCGAGTAAGTGGTACTGTTCTAGGACTGCTATGATCTCTGTATTGCTTCTTTGGTTTGTTCAGTGGGAAATCTATGTTTCTTGGGTGTGCGGTAATCCTCTCGGAGTCAATTGCAGACGAAAGAGCGTAATGGCACAAATTCTACAATGAAGAATTGTAACTGGTTTTAGCACATGTGTTAAGTGGGTAATTTTTCAAACTGCTGCTTCGCTTAATTCACAAACTGGTGTTTTTTACGGCACTGCCTGATGTTTCTGTCAAGTGAAAATGCTTCTATCTTTTACAGGCTGCTGTTCTCGTTCTGCTGGGAGTCCTTTGGACTCAGGCTTCTGCCTTGGACGTAAGTAGACCGATCAGCCTTCTAGTGCATGTACTCATTTAAAATGTGTTGGGTCCCTGGGCAGGGGGTGAATACAAGAAGCTAACAAGCTGTTGCTTGCCAAGTGTAGAGAAAATAGCATTTGCCAAAGGTGATGATCATATGAGCCAAAGAAGCAGGTGCAGAGTAACAAGAAGTTGGGGGAGGCCATAGGTCTGCTTAGCTCAAGCTGAAATTTGGAGACTGTTGCAGTCTCCCACCAATCCCTGCTGCCACACATGACTGGGGTACTCCGTGTTGTTTTGCCTTAGCCTGCAGTGAGGGCTCGTCCCCTCCTTTGCCACCCTGATGCGCTCTTGCATAATTAATCTCTATCTCAAGAGCCTCCTGAGACTGCTGGAGGGTTGGTAAGGGATTTAGTATTTCCATATGGCAGTCATACCTGCTTATTTGACCGAAAGCAGTTGTTTATATTGCACATGGCAAAGGTGCGAGGCAGATGGTGAACAATGACTTTGTGTTTTTTACCGAAGACCTATGCCCTCCGCGACCCCAGCAATAACTATGTCACTGGAACTATGACCATCGACAACGGGGACCAGGTTGTTGAAGTCCACGTCCACTCTGGCTTGTCCTCCTCTGACACCATTTTTGACTACGCACATGTAAGTAAATCCGAGAATCTGCCTAGACTTAATCTCTGAGGAAGTTTTTAAACTCAGAAATTTCTCACCATAAATTGTCCTGAAACACTGTTTCTCTCAAGACTCCTGTCACTTCTCCTCCTCGTAGGCCGTCTATTTGTTTCGCTCATATGACGGTGCAATTGAAAAGACGGGTAATGAAACCTGTGGTGGCAGTTCATGAAAGTGAAAGGATTTCACTGACCTCAGTGAGGTCAGAGTTGAGAACGAGCTGTCACCACTCAGGTATAACAAGTGCTGTGTAAGTCTGTTGGAAAAGATACTTCCAGTCTTACGGATGGGGGGGGCCAAGGGTGTTCCATTCCCCCAAGGGCG